AATATGTCGGTTAGTGTCATGAAAATAAATAGAATGATTGAGAATCAAATGAATGTACCTAAATTAAAAATTGTCAATTCAAAAATAGTCATCGCGGTGTGTGGTATATGATATCTTTAAATTTCATTATACTTTAAAGAGTAAAAGCCCTCTCATGGCACGAGTGTAACGTCAAACATTTTCCTGCAAAGTAATCAATCTGGATAGTGGCGGACGCTTCGTTTTAATTCAGCGCTTTACCGCTTTTTTTGTATGCACGTGGAGAATAGTTAGTCCTACAACCCCCTTTGTCTACGTCCAGTGCAGTCATTGTAGCGCAGGTGTACCTCAGTCCACGGAACCATGAAACGAAGTGTTCCAGTCATGTAATTACGGAGACTCCGAATACGACGGAACTGAAAATTGTACCGCCGAAGAACCAACCGGATTGTTTAAAATAACGCAACATTGAATTCCGAGAAAATAAATTTCAGGTTTCGTCCTGTTCTCCCCTCGAACTTGGCGTAAATTTTCCGTTCGAAAACTGGCTCAGATTGTGGAAATTGTTTACCTTGAGTAAAATTATATAATCATATCAAGCTTTCCTTCTACGTTCAAAATTTTGTTCAAAACATCTACAATGAAGGCAATTATTAAGACTTGTTCCTTTGATTTTTATTTCTATTGAAGTTTGATTGTGTACTTGTATCACTGGTATTTGATTCGTCAAGTTGGCCATACTTTAAACTAAACATTGAAAACTAAGAAATCCTTTGTATAGCAAGCCGAACTAAAAAGGAAAATTATAAATTTTGTCCTCCTTAGTTATCTAAGTCCTAGTTTTTTTCAAATAATGGCTACCCCATCCTTCAAACCAAGACGCATAACTGCTTCACGGCAGAATCAGGCCGGATGGTGGTCTACCAGTAATTACGCATTAATAAAATTTTCGGACGGTTTCATTTTTATTACACGATGTTATTCTTTCACCGTGGTCACTCGTGAACATTTACTATGTACGTATTTCATTCGAAAAATTCGCACCTACCTACAGATTCGAACACCGGAAAAATCGCATCGCTCGATACGAATGTCCCAGCCGTTTTATCCTTTAGGCCACGATGACGTCTGATTATAATTATGGAATATGAGTTTCGTCGCGGTAGCAATGCTGCACAAACGACTCAGAACCTTAACGACGTCTACGGAGTGAACAATACAAACGAATTTACGAATCTCTATTGATTAGAACGTTTCCGAGATGAAAATTTTGACCTAAAATGGAACCTCGCCGTCACTCGAAAACTTTTTTATCGCTTACATGGGTGGACGAGCTCACAGCCCACCTGGTGTTAAGTGGTTACTGGAGCCCATAGTCATCTACAATGTAAATGCGCCACCCACCTTGAGATATAAGTTCTAAGGTCTCAGTATAGTTACAACGGCTACCCCACCCTTCAAACCGAAACGCATTACTGCTTCACGGCAGAAATAAGCGAGGTGGTGGTACCTACCCGTGCGGACTCACAAGAGGTCCCACCACCCGTAAACTAAACTCAACAACGACAAATTAAGGCGATAGTGAAAACTGAGGATACTCGATTCACCGCTGAGCTAGATTTAAACGATAGCATTACAATAGTATTGGTCCATTTGCGTCAGATTAGCTTGGAAAAAAAAAAACTTGAAAAATTGGTGCCCCACGAACTGAACTATCGCCACCGTGACGAACGTCTTAACGTTTGCCTTACGTTGCTTAACAGACTCAGAAACGAAGAAATTTTGAACCGTATTGTCACTTGCGTTGAAAAATGGGTTCTTTTTAGTAGTCGTAAGCGGTCATCATGTTTGTTAGACTTAGATAGGTTCAGCACGTAGGCAATGCCCCAAGCAAAAACTTACCCCAAAAAGTCATGGTCAAAGGTCAGAAGATAAACTTTTATTTCCCTTACCGTCTTAGTTCTAAGTACGAATGAAAACAAAATTAGGATAGAAACAATGAGAAATATGGCTTAATCGTATGCAAATAGTTGTCCAATAATACAGAGTATTCAATTAAGGATTGTTCCATAACCAGAACCAAGTGGGTTTATAAAAACAAATATTAATTTTACCAGCTATCTTATGCATTCTGATCTGCCTTTAGTCTAAAGCTGAACTTCATGATTGATAAATATTGTTGAGATTTTTTTTTTAGTAAAAATGCTATTTCCTCTGCACTAGCTTATTGACTTAAAGACAAAACTAGGTACTCAATAATATCTGAACAAATAAACAAATCGAACTAACAAGCAAAATACCAAAGTAAACTTCTCCACGCGTTAGCTAATCCCAAAGTGACATACGGCTCAAATCAGCCTTTGCTGCCCCTGAATGACAGCGTCACTCAATCCTGCACCACTAATACATCCTAGACGATTATACTACAAGGAATCGATGTATGGAGAGAGGAACCATATACTGCCTTATTTTGGGACAAACATAAATTTGGGCACTGCCCGTTTGTCGCTCTGCTTTTTGAATACATTTTTTCAAGAGCAAATCGACAAACTGCAGGCCTTTGTACAAATGAAAGTGAATTTAACGCATCCCGTCAGTATTTGTTTTTGCGCATGACTATTTTGCCTGTTTTTTAATTGGCACGCATGGCTTGGTAGACGCACTCATCACGCGCATCGAATTTTAACCTGTTTCCGGATCCCTTTGACTTCGCAAAGCTAACGTTATAGGGGGATCGGAATATTGAGGTAGGCGGGCTCCCAGTATGAATTACCCGCAGTTAATTATAAATAGTATAATAAATAATAAAAAAGGTATATCGTAGGACTACACGAGCTCCCCCGGTGAAGGTCAAGGGGCGACCTGAGGGGGTGAGGTCGCGCGGCGCGCTACCAGCACTCTAGCGCGCTGCCGTGGAGTGATTAGAGCGACCGGTCGACGGTGTATCGCGTCCCGACCCGGCAGGCTGGTTCTGGTCCAGCGGGGTATTCCGGGACACCAGCGGCACCGTCTGGGCGGCCCGACGGGCTGCCGTACCGAGACGGCCGACGTTTCAGAGCCTTCGATTCGCCTCGAAGGCNCCAGCACTCTAGCGCGCTGCCGTGGAGTGATTAGAGCGACCGGTCGACGGTGTATCGCGTCCCGACCCGGCAGGCTGGTTCTGGTCCAGCGGGGTATTCCGGGACACCAGCGGCACCGTCTGGGCGGCCCGACGGGCTGCCGTACCGAGACGGCCGACGTTTCAGAGCCTTCGATTCGCCTCGAAGGCTCCGTCGGCTGGGCGCCCCCCGGCGCGCACTCTGCGTGGCCGGGGCTCCGTCTGTGAGGGAATTTTACTGGACTTCCACCGGGCGCGTCCGTAGATGGCGGATGACACCCCTGGGAGCAGTCCCACTCCCAGGGGTGTCATCCGATCTTTTTCGTTGCAAGGATTCTTAGGTGTTAGGTAGGTAGGTTAAGTGTAGGTGTAGGTAGGCTTTGCAATGAAAGAGATAGGATGACGCGGACCAAAACCAGCAGGGGGGGTTGCGGGCTCTCCACGCCCTTCACTCGCTGAAGGGTGTTCCTCCTGGAGACGCTCGGGCTTCCTCACTCTTCCCCTTTTTGTTTTCTTCGGGTCACGTTTGACCCGTTTCAGACGTAACCCATGGGAGATGGTGGGCCACTTTTGGCCTGTCTTTCGATGGAGAAGTGAGTCGGCGTTGCTTACGCATCTTCCGGCCGCTGGTCGCCGTGTCCCCGACTTCGGCTACAGGGGCACGCCCTCCAGAGGGGGGTACCGGTATACCGGCATGGCTTCGTCATTGTTGCTCGTTTGAGCGTCGGGCGGTGGTCTGCCGTGTTGCTCGTTACACTCGGCGGGCCGCCAGCCAACCCGTAATCCCCACCGCGTGGGGGATGGGGGCCGTTGCCGCGAGGCACGGAGTCGCGAGGACGTAAACCTCTTTAAAAAATGCCCCAATCCTAAGCTCTGGTACCCGGCGATGGCATGAATGGCTGGAGGGAGTCCAGTCCCGAGGATACCAACCAGACCCCAGGGGACCGACCTCGGGCTAATAAAAAAGGAACAAATGATAATGGCACTTGTTAAGAAATTATTACCCCAGGGTACCTCCCGCTCCGCGGGGGGAGGATCCCTCCGTATGGTCGAGCAATCGGCCGCACGCTGCCCCACCGTTTCTTGACTGTCAAAAGTATAATATGTTTTATAGAAACTCGTTTTGGAAATTATTTGAAAACCCGTAATTTTTGCAGTGAAAATACCTTAAAGCCGTTGCGATTTGAAATAGGTGAAACGGATCGGAACGAAAGATGAAACGGAAACGAAACCCGAATAGCGATACTAAAAAGAGACAAACATAGATCTATAGGATTTAAACTGCGAAAGAATGAGATAGAATATTGATATGATATTGTTATACTTCACTTCTAGATAGCGTGAAAGGCATGCGTGTTTTTTGTGTGTCGAAACGTATGTACACAAACGATACCTCTAATAACTAAAAACTGGCAATGTGATTTAAGCGACTCTCAAAATGAAAGAGACGGAGATAGTTTGAAAAATGCTTTCCTTGTTCTTTGAGCTTTCCACTTAATTTAAGATGTTACTCCAGTAAAGGGTGAAACCAGACGTGGTCATTCATTGTGTTTTTTAAAAGTATTTTAGCATTTTATTTTCGTTAACTAAAAGTTTCCTATACAAAACACGCACCAGAAAATCGTTCGACCTTTTCTAATGTCACGTACTCGCAGTGCGAGAGGGAGAAGCGCAATGAGTTGGAAAGAGAAAATCGATTCCCCGTTAATGGGACGCAACGCGGGTCACATTGTTCGCTGAAACGAGATTAAAATACAACACACGTTGGACCAATAATAGTGTAAAAAGACTTTTCACGATACTCTGCCTAGCAGAACAACATTACACAAAATAATGGTTACGTAACAAACGAATAATAAATACAAGCGAAAACTATATACGCTAATCAAATATATACTATAAGTAGTATGTACATTATACTTACCAACGGCTATTTTCTCGACGGGAAAGGTCTGCGCTGATAGGACGCCTGCTTGAAGCAACAACAAAACCGTTATCAGAGAAACGTGGCGGCTATACACCACCATTTCGGCCGACAGCATTGTGCGTACGTCCGAAAAGTTCGTCACGATTTTTTACATGCTAAATTAGGTTATTTACGGAGATTATAAAGGGTTTCTGTGAAGATTCTAAACGTAATAGCGACGGAATGCTGCGCCCAAACCTGAGACTTAGACTCGACTGATGCCGAATGAGCGTGGCATGGGGTGCGGCGTCCCTCCCGCCCCGCGTCACCCCCTATTCACTTGTTCGCTTATCGCAATAACCACACACTTTATTTCGCGCTTAATCCCATATTTCGCTTAAGTCATCGAATTCGAAGACGGACACTGTTATGTCTACTTTAATTAATGAGAGCATTCACGTTGTTAGAAAACCAGGACCCATATGAATAAATGTTTGTTTAAAGAATGTCTTTCTTTATATTCGATGAATTTTAGTATTTACATATTTTAATGATAATAATTATGTAATTAGTGATAAGCTAAGTCACATTTTAATTTTGGAACACAGCTTAGTCTTTAATAATAAAATAAAAAAAATTAAAAAAAATTCAGAGAACTACTTTAAGTACGACATTATTTTAACCGACTTTAAATAAAACATATAATTTTATTTCATACTACTAGATGATTATTTACTTTTTAATAAACATATTTTTGGGTTTTATAGGTTGGTTCTAAAAAAATACGTAATAAATTTAATTAAATTCCTCACTAATGAAGCTTCAAAATACGAAAGTGCTCGAATTTCATTTAATGCGAATCCTTTACAAGAAACACGTAATCACGCTTCTATTATTGAAAAAGATTTCCTTAAACATACAACGGTCCAAAACGTAACGAGATTAGTCGTACACAAAAGCTGATTCCTTCATCCATATACAACATACAAAGAGATATTTTATCAACTTCTTATTAGATTGTGTTTCATAAATACTTATTAATCAGAATCAGTGCCATTATTTATGTTCATAATTTTATTTAATTGAAACCACAAGACACGGCTGATTTTATAGCATAGTATCAGAATTGAATGGTTGAGAATCACAATCTTGATTGTTTCTATCGGGAAACAATTATGCAGTCATTACCATATAGTTGGATCTTCAATCTCTGCTCACAAGAAGAACAGCATTCTAACAACTGGCGAAGCTTTCAACCCATCTTCCATCTTTAATAGTACATCATTTACTGGTGGTAGGAGCTCTTGGGAGTCCGCGCGGATGGGTACCACCACCCTGCCTATTTCCGCCGTGAAGCAGTAATGTGTTTCGGTTTGAAGGGTGGGGCAGACGTTGTAACTATACTTGAGACCTAAGAACTTATATCTCAAGATAGGTGGCGTATTTACGTTGTGGATGTCTATGGGCTCCAGTAACCACCTAACACCAGGTGGGCTGTGAGCTCGTTCACCTATCTATGCAATAAAAAAAAACATCATAAATAAATAACAGTAGAAAATTCAAACAACGGGACGTGTGGAACATTCTTTATTTACTTCGACAGCCCTGAACGCTTTATCAAACGATTTATGAATACGTGGAGACTGGAGGATAGCACTTTGCAGATCAAATAAGCTGGCCACCAAGGAGGGCTACCTAACGAAATTGCTCGCTCGGAACTCTAAAGAAAATAAATTCACAATATTGCCTTATATGTTTTCCAAAACAGTATAGTTCACATCATGAAATAATATCAGTCAAATCGTAGAGACAGAAAATATATTAGTCCGTTTTTTTTTGTATCTCTTTAAGCCACTATCTTAATAGACATACCAAATAACAAACTTTTCAAATGAAGGAATTATTTAAGAAAAAGTAATAATACGTTCCAAGCCTCGAGAGTTTTACTCTCACGTAATAGAACTTAATTGAGTTGACACTAATAACTAACGACTTAACTGACTTAACTGAGTCTTAATAAAACCCTTATCGATGGTAAAAAACTATTTTAGTTAATACTTCTTTGAATCTTACCGTGTGTACCGAATATTTACCCTGGTGTTATTGATGACGATTTATCGAAGCTTTAAGAAGACTGTCAAAGAGAGTCATCGATAATCATTAGATAGAGCTAAAGCACGCAATAATAGTCCGATAAATTTAAGATGGCCAGAATTCAATAATAAAATTTTAAGCGTTTCAATAAAAAATAATATAGTCGACTTTGGTCAGCAGTTGGATGTTGTGATTGATTTTCAGTATTTCGACTTAGTAATATTTTCCTTTTGAAATACTTTTCATTGATAAATGCAGCCATGGGTGCAAGATATTGGAAAGTTAACAAGAAATAATTGATCGGTAATGGGAGAGGATTGGGGACGATTCGAAAGATTTGATTGTAGAAAAAAATATAAACCTTTATAAGGTTCATGTGTAGCTGCATGAAAGTCAGGTCATAAATTCTGTCACATGTTTAATGTAAAATAATTGAAACAAGTTTATTCATTATGTAACCATTCATATACCAAAATGAACTTAACAAAACATAGACTCTTATGACACTAAAGTTTATTCAAAATGACCTCCGTGATTTTGAATACAGGCCTTCAATCTGCGCGGCCAGTCGTCTATCGCAGCACGAACGAGGTCCATGTCAATATCGGCGGCTGCCTTAATCAAGGATGTCTTGAGTGACTCCAAATTGGGATGAGGGCTTTGAGCACGCCTTTTCCTCCAAGTGTTGCCATATCTTGTAATCTAACGGATTCAAATCCGGACTGGAGGAGGGCCAGTCTTCGTGCCGGATGAAGTCGATTTCACGCGCCGCCAGCCAGTCTTGTGTGCTCTTCGCTCTATGAGCTGGCGCCGAATCTTGTTGGAATACCCAGTGCCTGTTATTGAACATGGTATGAGAAACAGGTTCCACAAGGTTCGTCAGGACTGTATTTTGATACACAACTGCATTCGTTTTTACACCTTTCTCACAAAAATGTACCTCTGTTAAGCCCCAATAAGAAACTCCCAACCATACCATGAGCGAGGATGGAAAATGACCTCGTTGGACACGCGGAATACGGTTGCTCGCTTCTTCACTACTGTGTGCGTACACCTTATCATTTTGTTTGTTGTAGCTCTCTTCTACGGTAAAAAATTTTTCATCCGAAAAAAGAATTTCCCGATATTTTTTTCCCGCGTACCGCTTCAACAAAGCGCGGCATCTCTTCAGTCTCAGGTCCATTAGACGAGCATTCAAACGATGTCCTGTTTTTCTTCGATATGCCCGAAGCCCTAAGTCTTCATTTAACACCCTTTTCACCGTGGTTCTGCTTAACCCCATCTGAAGGGCCAACAGTTTCTGCTTACGTTTGGGATTTCTTTGAATTCGCGCCTTCACAGCTTTTATCACTGCTGGAGTCCTAACAGACCGAGGGCGACCACTTCTTGACCTGTCATCTACACTAGAGTCTTCATTGTATCGTTTGATGGTACGATAAACGAATCTTTTGGTTATATTCAAATTTTTCAGTATGTTAAAAATTTGAATTGGCGCGTAACCGCAACGATGCAACGCAATAACTGCAACACGGTCTTCTTTAAGCGTCCACTCCATATTTAAAAATGAGTAAAATTCTAAAAGTATACATTTTTATTTTCATGAACAATTCGAAATTCGAATTCAATAAACTTTTTTGTGGCCAGCATTCTAAAAGAAAAGTTTTTACTGTGTGACAATACTTATGACCTGACTAGGTATATAGTTAGTTATGCTGCACGGCTTGCGGTGGCGATCGTTTTGTTTGAGGTAACTACAGAGCAACGAGGGACAGGGGTCATATGTGCACTATGTTATGAATATGCAAATCTAGCATTTTTTACATATTTTCAAAAAACGGTAACAAAGTGGAAAAGTCGTCGGAACATGGGCCAATTTTATCGAACTTTCGATAAGCTTAAGAAAGTAAAAAGCTTACGAAAAAGTAAATAACGGGCTTATAAAGCTCCGATAACTCATTATGAATAAGGCCATCCGAATTATTTTTGTAAAAAAGCTCTCATACTATCAAATTATATGTAAGTATATGGAATAATGAAAAAGGAAACAAGATTCAAGTTCTTGAAATGATATTAGTAATAATAAATTTCCCTCTCTACAAAAGTTAACAATGAAATTACTTTTCGATGTAATTAAATATTTACTCGTGCGTTCTACTTTCATGAGTCTGAAATATAATAAGTATTTCATGGAGAGGCTGTCATGGACACCTGAATAAAGTATTAGTAAAAAAATTCGGCTGTTTTCCTTCGTAGCTAGGCGATACTCTACAAAATTGTCAAACGGTCAGGACTTATGCAAATGTAATATTTTTTCACATGGACCACACCCGTATTAACGCCCTTTGAGTCTTACAATCTCATTTTTGCAGGAGAGTCGCCGGATCGCCATGGTATGTGAGCATTGTAGATCTTCATGTTGGCCTAGATTTAGGACTGATCAGTAAGTAACTCAAGACAGCGTCAGAACGCTTCTTCGATAAAGCAGCGGGACACGATGATCCTCTCATCATAGCCGCCGGTGGATCTACTCAGTGCTCTTAGGCATTCCAGACACATATTACCTTTCTCATCGAGCTCGTCGAATGCATTCAGAATTCGATGGGCAATTTAATCCAGATACAATCCAATTCGTTTCTTGCCGGCTTTTCTTAGTGTAGTAGATGTACTCGTGATATATTTGAGCTGTTAGAATTCCTTCGGAGGTGATTATGCAGTAGTTAACAAACCTCACCCCTGCTGACTGACCCCAGATCATCTTTCCGTCCTGGTAAAGCTAGGCTAGTAGAATTCAGCAGTTTTGAGTAGTTGTTATGCGACCTCGGATGCTGTATGGGATAGCCATTATACAATTCAGCCATGGATGTCTTAAATAAATAATAAATAAATAAATATTTACTAACAATCACGCCACGTTAACTGGTCCCGTGATAAGTTCGTAAAGAACTTGTGTTACAGATACCAGATAACGGATATAAATGTAAGATTTTTATTATAAACATACATATATTTAATATACATCCATTACCCTGGAAAAGACATTTA